AAAATGGAATAGTCATCAAAAAATGGTGCGGCTTGTTGTATTAATTCCTAAAAATCTTATATTAATTTTGCAATGCAAAACTTAAATAAAAATTTGACATTTTGACCAATTCCAGCCCCTGGGTGCTTGATTGCGCCGTCTGGGGGCTATTTGACGTCGATTTTATTTTTAGATTTTTTGAGGCCATTTTTGCAAGCATGCTTAGATAAATGTAAGGATCATTTCTATAAAATTTAAGAATATTTTGACGTCATTTTTTTTTACTTTACTTTTCAAACACGAAAAATAGAGAAAATCATAAAAAAAATAGAATATTCATCAGAAAAATTTTCCTCCTTGTTGCATTAATTTCTAAAAATCATGTATTAATTTCATAGTGCAAAACTTAACTAAAAATGTGAATTTTTAACCAATTTCGGCCCCTGGGCATTCCACTGCGTGGGCCAGGGGCTTTTTGACAGCGTTTTTCTTTTCTCATTCTTTGAGGTCCTTTTTTATAGGCATGCTCAGAAAAATGTAAGGATCGTGTCCGCAAAATTTTAGTATTTTTTGTCGTCATTTTTATTTTGTTTTATATAAAAAAACAGAAAATAGAGAAAATCCTAAAAAAATAGAATATTCATCAAAAAATGGTGCTGCTTGTTGCATTAATTCCTAAAACGCATCTATTAATTTTACAATGTAAAACATAAATAAAGATGTGAAATTTTGACCAATTTCGTCCCCTGGGCGCTCCACTACGCAGGCCGGGAGCTTCTTGACAGTGTTTTTTTTTTCATTTTTTGAGGCCAGTTTTTGCAAGCACGCTCAAAAAATGTAAGTAACGTGTCTGTAAAATTTTAGAATTTTTTGGCATCATTTTTTTTTTTCGAAGTCAAAAGATAGAGAAAATCATTAAAAAAATGAATCATAAAAAATGGAATAGTCATCAAAAAATGGTGCGGCTTGTTGTATTAATTCCTAAAAATCTTATATTAATTTTGCAATGCAAAACTTATATAAAAATTTGACATTTTGACCAATTCCAGCCCCTGGGTGCTTGATTGCGCTATTTGACGTCGTTTTTATTTTTAGATTTTTTGAGGCCATTTTTGCAAGCATGCTTAGATAAATGTAAGGATCATTTCTATAAAATTTAAGAATATTTTGACGTCATTTTTTTTTACTTTACTTTTCAAACACGAAAAATAGAGAAAATCATAAAAAAAAATAGAATATTCATCAGAAAAATTTTCCCTCTTGTTGCATTAATTTCTAAAAATCATGTATTAATTTCATAGTGCAAAACTTAACTAAAAATGTGAATTTTTAACCAATTTCGGCCCCTGGGCATTCCACTGCATGGGCCAGGGTCTTTTTGACAGCGTTTTTCTTTTCTCATTCTTTGAGGTCCTTTTTTATAGGCATGCTCAGAAAAATGTAAGGATCGTGTCCGCAAAATTTTAGTATTTTTTGTCGTCATTTTTATTTTGTTTTATATAAAAAAACAGAAAATAGAGAAAATCCTACAAAAATAGAATATTCATCAAAAAATGGTGCTGCTTGTTGCAGTAATTCCTAAAACGCATCTATTAATTTTACAATGTAAAACATAAATAAAGATGTGAAATTTTGACCAATTTTGTGCCCTGAGCGCTCCACTACGCAGGCCAGGAGCTTCTTGACAGCGTTTTTTTTTTCATTTTTTGAGGCCAGTTTTTGCAAGCACGCTCAAAAAATGTAAGTAACGTGTCTGTAAAATTTTAGAATTTTTTGACATCATTTTTTTTTTCGAAGTCAAAAGATAGAGAAAATCATAAAAAAAAAATGGAATACTCATAAAAAAATGGTGCTGCTTGTTGCATTAATTCCTAAAAATCATATATTAATTTTACAGTGCAAAACATAAATAAAAATTTAAATTTTTGACCAATTTCGGTCCCTGGGTGCTCCACTGCGCCGTCTGGGGTTCTTTTGACAGCGTTTTTCTTTTTTTCATTTTTTGAGGCCTTTTTTACAGGTGTGCTTAGAAAAATGTATCATGCCTGGAAAATTTAAGAATATTTTGACGTCGTTTTTATTTTATTTTATTTTGCAAACACGAAAAATAGAGAAAATTATAAAAAAAAATAGAATATTCATGAAAAAATGGTGGTGCTTGTTGCATTAATTCTTAAAAATCATGTATTAATTTCATAGTGCAAAACAAAAATAAAAATATGAATTTTTCACCAATTTCGGCCCCTGGGCGTTCCATTGCGTGGGCTGGGGGCTTTTTAATAACGTTTTACTTTCTGCATTCTTTGAGGCCGTTTTTTGCAGGCATGCTCAAAAAAATGTAAGGATCATGTCTGTAAAATTGTAGTATTTTTTAATGTCATTTTTATTTTATATTAAAAAGCAAAAAATAGAGAAAATCATAAAAAAATATAATATTTATCAAAATATGGTGCCACTTGTTGCATTAATTCCTAAAATGCATGTACTAATTTTGCAATGCAAAACATAAATAAAGATGTGAAATTTTGACCAATTCCGGCCCCTAGGTGCTCCACTGCGCGGGCCGGGGGCTTTTTGACAATTTTTTTTTTTCTTTTTTTGAGGTCATTTTTTGCAGACATGCTCAGAAAAATGTAAGTAATGTGTCTTCGAAATTTCAGAATTTTTTGACGTCGTTTTCTTTTTTAAGACAAAAAATAGAGAAAATCATAAAAGAAATAGGATATTCATCAAAAAATGTCGTCGCTTGTTGCATTAATTCCTAAAAATCATGTATTAATTTTACAATACAAAACATAACTAAAAATGTGAAATTTTGACCAATTTCAGCCCCTGGGCACTCCACTGTGCGGGCCGGAGACTTTTTAACAGCGTTTTTTTTTTCTTTTTTTGAGGCCATTTTTTTCAACCATGCTCTAGAAAATGTAAGTAACGTGTCTGCAAAATTTCAGAATTTTTTGATATCATTTTTATTTTATTTTTCAAAGACGATAAATAGAAAATTCATAAAAAAGATAATATTCATAAAAAAAAAAAAATAGTATTGCTTATTGCATTAATTTCTAAAATTCATGTATTAATTTTACAATGCAACGCATAAATAAAAATATCAAATTTTGACTAATTCTGACCCTTAGGAGCTCCACTACGAGGGCTGGGGGCTTAATCTTCGTGTGCACATAACTGAAAACCCCCCTCTTGAGTCTTGACTCACTGCTTGACCATCTCTCTGTCTCTCCTCGACAACAGTACTTGAGCTCCTTTTTTTTAACTACATGTCGATCCACACTTGTTTTCCATGGCAGTTATCCTGAATATCTCTACAAAAAAAAAAAAGGACGAGTCTTAGAAGATAAATTGTAGTAGTCTAAAACGAAAAGAAATGCCCCTTCTTTAATAACACTAATTGAAAATTTTTAAAACATTACTGGTTTTGATTATTTCCTTTTTGCCCTTTCTATATTATTTGTTCTTATAATGACCAGTTGTCCTGATAATGCACTCGATAATTACGAGTAATTACTGGCATGGTAGTAAAATTAGAAAATAAAATAAAACCAGTACTATTTGGCATACAAAACATTTTTTGCTAGTGCAATTAAAAGAATTAACTAGAAAAAAGTAAATTAAGTTGAAAAATGATAAATGGTAATGCAACTAAACTACGAATTTAATATTTGAGTGTAAAAAACACCTTTTAATGTAATGTTATTAGTTGTGTTAAATTTCTCATACGCTATACTTTCTGATAAATTTCTCACTAAGTATAACAAATACGCTATACGTTATTTGTTGACATTTGATTGCTATTGATTTTTTTTCATGTAATCATTACAACTTTTACATTTTTTAATTATTTTTAAAATATAAAAATTTACTTTTATAACTTTTAAAACTTATTGATTATGAAAAAAAAAACATATTTAGCATTTAAATCATTGAAGCAAAAATAAAAATAATATAACATATTATATTTTTTAATGCTAAATATATAATTGGCATTAGCATTTTACATCGGAGATGGTATAAGGAACCACATGTTATTTTTTAATATTAAATCACAAAAAAATTCTACTCAATGATTTAAGTTCTTTTTTTCAGCTAAAAGTCTTTAAAACCAGAAACCATTTAAAGGAAAAAATCAAAACGAAAAGACGTGTACTGTTAAACACGAAGAAAATTCAGGTTAAACGACTTTTCGTGTCGTTTAGTCATGATTCATGAAGGACAGCTTACATCTTGACATGTCGTGTTTGTCTTAAAATATATCAACGTTCTGAACAAAGAACGACGTGTTTTCTTCTGGTGAAAAAACAATCACTTAAAGCAGAAACTGATAGTTCATAGGTCACGGTAACAAAATGTTGACAGAAAAAACATGTCGTTAATACTAAACCGACAACATACGCATTGAAAATGATGAGACCCGACATGTCATTACTTCGACTTCAAATAAGGCCAACTTAAATAACAACAATCAATAAGCTGTTCTTTGGCTTAGCGGGCCAGAAATAGTAACAGTTAAATTGGTATGTCGTTTATTTAGTTAAACGACAACAAATGTATATTCGAATTAACACATTGTTTTGTTCATGAAAAAGGTAACGGTTGATAGGCGTTTTCCATTTAAAAATTGAGAAAGTTTCAAGTGGAGATTCCTCATCTGTTCAACAAATCCTCAATCACCATTTGCAATTGTGCTGCCACAAAAGATTCACTCGTACTAGACAACCATGGACTACATGGCTGCACGTCTTCCACATTTCATGCATGGATAAAGGATTTTTTTTTTTTAATAATCTATATTTCTCCAAATTCGTAATGCTGCGTTAAACCAGCTCAAAAAAAGAGATGAAAAATAATAGTTCAAGAAAAAGGAAGAAGAAAAATGCAAAAACTAAAAAAAAACTACGGTTACCCAAAAAAAAAAAAAAAAAAAAAAAAGCTTATTCTCTTCTTCTTCTCTTCTTTTATCCCTTTTGGTGAAGCCATTATTTTTTTTTCCCCCTCAAGACAACTTGTTTCGAATCTATTGGCTTCAATATTCGAAAATAAGACATGCAAATTAAGTGTTATATCCATTTAAGGATTAAAGAAAAAAAAACACGATACACTGCGAATCTTGATAAACCTTAGGAGATCATCTAGGCATTCAAAATATATTTACATAATAAGGCTTGCTAAGGTTAATATGCCCCGTCATAAGGGCAGATAGGGCCTCCGAACTCAGTGGAGAAAATCCTTCATTGGATCATCATGATGGATTTTCTTCATCCTATATGCTTCCATGTCCTCAGCAGTAACCTGAAATCGATAAAAGCAACGATAAGGAGTCACATGAAAATAGCGTCGCACTTAACACAGTTATTGGAATTGAACCTTGAAAGTATTAAAAAAAAATTTTGAAACAGACCTCGTCATTCCATTTCACATTGTACTTGCGCTTTCTTTCATCTCTCTCTTCTCTCTTCCTTTCATCCTCCTGTCCAAACAAAAAATCTCTGATCAATACCCCTTTCAAACTCAGTAGTTAACTTGTATAACAAGTTGAGAAAATAATATAAGTAGAAACAGTAGAAGAGAAAAAGATAACAGATTACGGTCAGAACCCAACTAACCTTCTTAAGAGCTTTGGCAAGTAATTTTTCATCCAAGACTAAATCATCAGGGATATCAGTTCCCCAAGTAGCAAGCCTTTTCTCCTCAACTGGAGCAGAAGTTTCTGTTCCACGTTCACACAATAGATATGATTACAACCAGACTCGAGGGACACAGTAAATGTCGCAATTAAAACACCAACCCAACCAAACAAAAAGAAAAAGCTCATAGTATCTACTTAAGACACTTACCATCGATGGCCTCTTTGCGAGCAATGTTAGCCTTCATAAGATCTGATGCAGCCTCAGCCGCTTCAATTCCAGCAGCGCCTGTACAATAGCTGTTTCGAATTACCTGTTTGCAGCACTTGTAACCCCACTGATGATCTTTCCAGTATGAACCCCAGACACTGGTGTGGTTGTTGATAAAAACATCCTCTTCATACTTGCTTCTAGGAAGTGCCATCTCCTGTAATTAACAGGGCGAATTTGTCATATTCTTTATAAATCTGAAGTAGCAAAAGTTATACACAATTTTTCAACAGCTTAAAACAACAGCACAGCAAGATAGAAACCAGGATAAAAGCTCACAGCAAAAGTAATCATCGAGGAACATAAAGACGTTAAAACGACGGAAAGAAGAAAAAAGTGGAAAAGAAAATGCTAATGAATAGAATTAAGTTGCAAAAAATCTAAGGGGAACACCGTCAGTAAATTTTTGCAGTCAGTCATACCTGCCCCTTGATGATCCTACCAGCCCGATCATATTCAACTTCTTTTTCAGTTTGTCCTAGTAAAAGTTCCCTAGGAATTTCTTCCTCAGTAGCAGCGTTGCCATATTTCTCCAAGATCGTATCCTTTGTCTGTGACTTCAATTTCTCCTTAATCACTTTGTAGTTCTTGTAAAGCAACTCAGCTTGGGATGGAGCTGCTTGCATGTGAATATCCTGTCCCTTGTCAAATGCTTCCCAAGAATGTATGTTCAGCTGCTTGAACTCCAAAGCTTGGCCACTGTTTCTATATTGGTTATCACCCTGAAATTTAGAAGGTTGTCAATAAGAGAAAAAATTCATTAACATAATATTACTAGTAAAAAAGAAAGAAGCATCCAAACAGATCTAATTTTAGAGGCACTTACTCCATAGAACTTTTCATTTGGATCTGCATCTGGAAGAGGGTCCTCACGCATGGATCGAGTTTTAGGATCATAATGTGCAGAGTTGACATCGAGATTCAGAAGATATTTTGCAGTGTCTTCACGAATACGCAAATTCCTGCAAGCAAAAGGAAAGGCAATTTTTATCTTCCAAATACAACCCAAGTTAAAAAAAATAATACGATTTTGTCATCAACACGAACATGCACAACCCAATACTAGTCAACAATAGCATGATGTCAATCCACAACAAGTCCATACCTAACAGTTCCTGTGCTCCCACCACCTGTTGTACGCACTCGCTTCTCAACCTTTGCAAAGTCCATTTGTTTGCTCTCATCAACTTTGGCTTCATCCACCCTCAAATCATCATCATCATCTTCTTCTTCTTCTTCTTCTTCTTCTTCTTCCTCACTATCCCCTCCCTCACCATTTTGGTTATTATTTTTTTCCTCTAGTTTCTTAAGCTGTTGCTCCTTCAAATATTTCCTTCGAGCTTCATCCCTTGCTTCATATCTCTCAATAACAAGGGCGTAGGTTGACGCATCATATCCATTCCACCGGTCACGTTTGCCATCATAGTCAAGCTCAAAGGTCTCTACTTTTTCATCAGGGGCAATATGTTTATTTGTCCACTTAGCTCCCACTTTGCGGGGTCTTTCCATGCATGCCTTTGCATTGTGTGTCATGGCTCCACAGCTGCAGAAAGCAAGGAATCATTAGACCATTGTTCTCCCAGGCATGACAAATATCAGGTAACATTCATAGGTTACAAACTCAAATAAGACTTAGAAACAAATTCAGTAATACATAAAAACAAGGAAAGGGCATACATACACATCACATACAACCACTCAATATCATGAGATGGTTATGCAATTCTAAGTCAGGGATAAAACCCGAAATATTTATAAGCTCGCTTCCAATTTAACACACGAACACTCATGCTCAAGTGCGAAAGAGACAATCATAGCGAAAATGTTTTGAGAGAAAAAGTCAGAGAGAGAGAGAGAGAGAGAGAGAGAGATTGACTTACTTTTCACAGGCGCCTTTCCTGTATTTATCGGCTTGGAAAATTTTCGCACCTCTGTCATACCATGATTTGGTGTAATTTGGATCTGATTTCCACTTCCTTTGATGTTTTAAACTCTGGTAAGCAAAACACAAATGAACAAAATGTTACAACATTCAGAACTCAGGATGCGAGTATGGCGGTACATGATATGGGTAGTTGATATAAACAATGAATTTCACAAGAAATAAAATTAATAACTTACGGGTCTCTCCGAGTTGAGATACCAAGGTGCAGAGGACATATACTGGGGAATGTGAGGATTAATCTCTTTCCCATCCTCATCAACCTCAGCAGGAGCAAGCCCGGCTTTACGCGCTTCTTCCAATTCAATTTGTTTTCTATGGTCTTCTCTAGACTTGAATGCCACTACAAAACCAAACAACCAACCACACACGATAAATAAACATAGCAAATTAAGAAAAACTTACGCAAAATATTAGATTCTATTACTTCAAAATTCAGCAAAAAGGAGAAAAACTGATAACATCAGAACAAAACCAAGCACAACTGGGACGTTCCACCTAGTCAAGTTTTCACCCACACCCAAAATCCTAAAATAAAGCTCCAACAATATCCATATTCCAGAAGAAATACCCAAATTTTTAAATTTGAGGGAAATTTCCGATTTCTTCAAAACAACGGTTGCAAGTGACGTTTAGAAAAGAAGCTTTTTTTCCGCATCACAATCAAAACAACGTTGGCAAGCGAAGTTTACAAAAGAAGCTTTTTTTCTGCGTCAAATTCCAAAAATTATATTCGTAAGAGAGAATTTCCAAAGCTAATCATGACGCCAATAAAAATTTTGCACGAAAAAAGGGGAAGAAAACCCTAAATAAGCCCTGATCGATCGATCAATTTCTAGGAAAATCAAAGAGCAGTAATAGAAACCCTAAAATTCGCAAAGAAGAATAATAATAGAGAGAAGAAACAAAGTAGAAAGGGGGAAAAAGAATAAGAAAGAACCTGAAGCAGTCGCCATTGTTGGTGCTCTGCGATGGGAGAATAACAAAGTTCGAAGATTCTTGTACTGAAATCGAAGAAGATGAAAGCTAGATCGAGAAATACCAGAGAGATAGAGAGGGCATGAAACGGATTGTAAAATGGGCAAACTTTCTTCTCCTTTTACTTGGAACTGGATACACCGGTGGCACGTGAGGTCGGTTAATATCTCTTATTTATTATTTATTAAAAAAACAAAAAGAAAAGGAAAAATCTTCTTGCACACCCTGACGACAACGTTTTGCCGTTCGTTGAGTCGTTTCAAGCTTTTATGGACTGTTTAAAAAATGATTTTTTATTTTTTTAAACATAATTTTAAAAACACGCTCATATTTTGTTTTGGGTCTTTTTGTTTTTTTTTATTTCTCTGAAAGTAAGAAAGTAAAATATCATAGACCGATTATAAAACGTTTTAAAAGTAAAAAATAAAGTGAGATTAAATCTCAGATGTCAATGGTGGGATTAATCTTTTTTTTTTAATTAATTTAATCATTGTCAATGTTGATACTTTGCATGATTAATAAACTTTCAAAGAAAATTACTCGTAAATTGGTTATTAACTAAGTATAACTTCTCCTTTTACATGGTGAAAAATTATACCTATGACATGTTTACATATTAAGATTGAAGAATAAGAGTGGAAAATATGAGTCAATCACTTCTTCTCCTTTTATTTGAAAAAAAAAAAAACTAAAAGAAAGAGAAAAATCTTCTTGCACACCTAGACGACAACGTTTTGATGTCCGTTGAGTCGTTTCAAGATTTTATGGATTGTTTTAAAAAAAATGGTTTTTTATTTTTTTAAAACAAAAATTTGAAAACATGCTCGTGTTTTGTTTTGGGTTTTTTTTTTTTGTTCTTTTTATTTCTCTGAAAACTAAAAAAGTAAAATATCATAGATCAATTGTAAAAAGTTTTAAAAGTGATAGATAAAGTGAGATTAAAGGCAAATTTTAAATACTATTAATCTTTTTTTTTTTTAAGGTTTTAGTTATTGTCAATGTTGATACTCATGATTAATAAACTTTTCAAAGAAAATTGGTCATAAATTTGTTATTAACTAAGTATAACTTCTCCTTTTAACTTGGTGATAAATTATACCTATGACATGTTTACTGACTAAGATTGAAGAATAAGAATGGAAAATGTGAGTCAATCACTGCTTCTCCTTTTACTTGCAATTGGATACACCGGTGGTGGTGCCATGAGGTCGGTTTAATATCTCTTCTTTATTTGAAAAAAAAAAACTAAAAGAAAAAGAAAAATCTTCTTGCACACCTAGACGACAACGTTTTGATGTCCGTTGAGTCGTTTTAGACTTTTATGGACTGTTTCAAAAAAATGGTTTTTTATTTTTTTAAACAAAAATTTTAAACACGCTCGTATTTTGTTTTGGATTTTTTTTATATTTCTCTGAAAAGGAAGAAAGTAAAATATCATAGATCAATTGTAAAAAGTTTTAAAAGTGATAAATAAAGTGAGATTCATGGTAAATCTCAAATACTATTCGTGGGATTAATCTTTTTTTAACTAATTTATTCATTGTCAATGTTGATACTTTGACATGATTAATAAACTTTTCAAAGAAAATTGGTCGTAAATTGGTTATTAACTAAGTATAACTTCTCCTTTTAACTTGGCAATAAATTATATCTATGACATGTTGACTTACTAAGATTGAAGAATGAGAGTGAGAAATATGAGTCAATCACTTCTTCTCCTTTTAGTTGGAAATGGATACACCGTTGGCGGTCCCACGAGGTCAGTTTAATATCTCTTCTTTATTTGAAAAAATAAATAAATAAAAGAAAAAGAAAAACCTTCTTGCACACTTAGACGACAACATTTTGATGTCCATTGAGTTGTTTCAGCTTTTATGGACTGTTTAAAAAAATGCTTTTTATTTTTTAAACAAAAATTTGAAAATAC